AATATATGTATACATTAAATTGATGTTGTCTAGTTCCCTCTTTCCCAGCTGATATTTATAGTTCATAAATATTTTATGGAACAAAATTTGACTTACATTTCATTCACATTTTATGTTTGTATTAACCTCATCCTAGTCAAAATCTAAATATGCACATAATGAGTAGAATTAATTTATTTCATTAACATGTTCAGTAGTAAGTTACTGGAAATGCCAAAACCATTTAATTATTACTGATACATATATATAAAATTATGTATGGGTTGGGAACATAATCCAGTCTAAATTGTATTCAAATGTCAAATTGTTTGTGAATTATATGCTAAAATGGCTTGCCAGAGCCGTGTGTGTGTGTGTGTGTGTGTGTGTGTGTGTGTGTGTGTGTGTGTGTGTGTGTGTGTGTGTGTGTGTGTGTGTGTGTGTTTTAGAGAATCCACCCTCTCTGTCTGCCAACAAACAAAAAGTGGGAATGGAGTAAGATTCTGGCAGAGGGTGACTTGCTCTTTAAATTTATTGTGGACTATTTTTTTTGTTGACGTTGTTGTGATGAATCGACTAATCATCATGTCTTTTATTTATTTATTTATTTATTGCACATGTTGGCAACGAATGCCATAGGATGTTCACAGTGGAGTCTGAAGATGAACATGCAAGAAATAAATAAAAATCTTATCTTAGTAAAAGAAAATCCATGGGAGAATCTCAAGGCATCTGGTGTAAAACTAACATCAGATTTTAGAACATCATATCGACAGTCTAAAACAGGGTGGTGGTAGTGTGACGGTCTGGGGCTGCTTTGCTGTTTCAAGATCTGCACGACTTGACGACATTACAGAGAATATAGCACTGGGATTTTGTTTTCATTTACATGTCTATTACATTGGACTGTCTTTGACCCAAATTATTAAACTTTTTTTTAACTAGATACATTTTGTTTATAATTCAGCACAATGATCTGATTGATTTCAAACATTAACTTGAACATAAAATGCTGTATTCTGTGCCTTTTCACTGCTACAAAGCACCTGTCAAAAGACGAAATAAAATAAATGTTAAAACCAAAAGTAAACAAGTCTCGCCTTTCAATAAAACCCTCACTTTGTTATGGCAATGTTGTGATGAAGATGAGAGAGAGAGGAAGAAAGAGAACACATTTGCCCTCTGGTTTCCTTCATCACTGTTGGGTCTGCACCACCCTCCTCTCTCCTGGATGTCCACCATTAGATACGCTCAATTGGATTCCTGTCAGATGTGCGGCCTCGCCCTGGATCTCCTTCCTACGGGTGACTGCACTTGCTGCATGCATGCAAGTCTTTGCATGAGGGGAGGGGGGAAACGAAGCAGCTTTTCCTTTAAAGATTGTTGAGATAAAACCTTATTTGCACACAAACAAATGTAAATTCACACATACTTCACATGATTTAATGCACACAGTTGAAGGGCTCACTTGCTCCCAGCAGAAGGCTGGTAGCATGGGCCTTGGCGATAAAGGGTAAATGCTGACACAGGTTTGACCGAGAGGTTACAATGCTGAGATTTACTGTATGCCTGTGTATACTGACTTAGCCTTGGTGGTTCCCAAGACATGTCTGCGTGATGTGACAATTTAAGCAAATCGCTGAGGGTGCACGTTACCTACGCCTTGACCCATCTCAGGAGAATAATGAGCTACCTTGGGAGTTTTGGTCATATAATTCTGGTCTGAGGAACACTTGGCCTGTTCACTTTTCACTAGCTGAGTCATTAACTATTATATTTGTGCAAAACCTAAAGACTCCAGTGAAGATTTCAAGTCTAATAATGGAGCTAAACTAGAAGGGGAAGCAGCTTATATTTTTTTTTTTATAAAATGCCTGTTGCATCTTTATCTTCTAGTAAAAAATGACTAAAATTCTCTTTGGAAACATAAAATCAAGTCAGATGTGTAGCTCTGTAAATTCAGAAGAGAGTGAAGTCAGGAGATGGATATGAAAGGCAAAATCTAAAAAGCAAGGATAGTAATAAAAGCAGTGCTTTTGGGATCCTTTCTGGACTGTTGGTTTAAGATGAAACATCCTTCAAGTAGCAGCGTGAACATCATATCAACAAAGAGTTTATTCCAAATTGAATATTTTGTTTGTATATTTGTTAAAAATGGGCTTTAAAGATCTTGAGGAAACTCTGTGTCCTGTGAAAAAATATCTGATGCTATAAACTTAAACGTTTTCCAACACTCAAATCAGAACTAATTTTGCCCAGCAGGTTGTGTCCCCTATGCCACCAAAAACACAATTTCATTTACAGAGTAACCTCTGGAGGCAAAGTTAAACATACTGACCCTGGAACACATGAATTGACAAAGATTTAGAATTGTAAAAAGTGTGAAATCTATTAGTGTCTTTGGGGTATATGTTATTTTGTGGAGGGCAAGAACTTTGGTAGGCTAATTAGGTCGTGTCCAGTGACCTCTGGCAATACGCTGGCAGATTTAATACAGCAACCATGCTAATGGGGTTAAAGAGCTAAAGCATTACATTGAGCCTGCTTGTTGTACCACAGGGCACTGATATAACAATGTGAAAAAGATGGTTGTGTCTTGCTTTGGCTTTGTTCACTGTAATGTGTGAAAATGATTGCACAGCAGGTTTTTCTTGTAAGAAATAAAAAAAACATCTACTTTAGTGTTGTTGTAATTTGTTTTATTTTTGCTGGCACTGATGTGAATGCATCAGTTCCTATAATATAATCCAAACTTAGGTTTCTCCCTGCATGAGAAAACGTCTGTTAGAGAGGGGCTTGGTTTTGAATCAATAATTAAATTGCATCCAGGAATTCAAACCAATATTCTGGAGCAAACTTCAGGGTTATTACAGCTTCTGAACTTAAAGGTGATTGCTACGGCTGCTGCCTCTTTGTCCTGGGAGCAGGAGCTGTGGATTTGAATTGGTGCCATCTTCTGCTGTCCAAAGTCCTTAAACAGGATAAAGGCACAACCAATGTGTGCTTCCACCCCTCCTCCCTTCAGCAGAAACCCGATTTTCTTGATTAGCGCCAGAGTATAAAAAAGGCAGAGCTGCCAGAAGAAAAATGGGGGTGGGGGGTGGGGGTCAGATTTGTGTCACCACCCCCATTTGCCCCTTGTGGGTTTTATCAGCTTTTAGAAAATAAGCTCGATTTATCTAAAAGCCCTTTGCTTTTATAGTTTTAAAACAGACGAGGAACCAGACTGGTGCTTTAGTAGTTTCAGGTCAACAAGTTGCCTATTTTAAGTGTGATCTGTGAGCCGTAGCACTGAGTTTATTTAAAGTAATTTGGTAAGAATGGAGCATTATGTATTTTAGATCCTTTTATAATAAAATACTGTTTGCTTTTCACCATCTTGCAAACGATTGTGTTACGCCTTGTCCTTCATTTTAACACCACCACAGGTCATAACAGACATATGTCCAAGTTAAATTAATTCTATGGTTGATACAAAACATGTTTATTAGGCTCCTCTCATAAACTTCACCATCCAGAATGGGCCATTTCAGGGCTTTGTCACTTTAAGAATAGAAGCTGTTGCTGGCCACGCCCACCCATTCCCGGCTCAGACTGCTAAAGCAGAAAAGCACCGAAATTCGGTGGGGGGTAGTAAAGCTGCTGCCCCTCCGCCTGTCTGCATGTCAGAAAATAAACAAAAAGGAGACGGACCTAAGCGGAGGAAATCTAGTTTTTTGTTGATGAGGTGTCGCTACCACCATCATTTCAAGGTTAGGAGAGTATGGGTATGGTGGCTGGAAAGAACGGCCAGGCAAGGAGTTTATGCCAATCTACTCAAAGAGATGTGCCTTGAAAACCCAGAATGCTTCAGACAGTACCGTCGCCTGGATCCTGAATCCTTCAAGAGGGTAGTGGAAACAGTGGGCCCATCGATCCATAAGGCATCGTTTTGTTTATTTTCCTGACACGCAGACACGACAGGGGGCTGCATCTGAATAAAGCCTGGTTCATGCTTCTCCGTCAGCTCCGCAAGGGACATACACGCACGGATTGACGGAAGCGTTTTGCTCTTTTACTTCTCCGTCTCCTGGAGAGTGTTGCAAAGCAATTGCCCGGCAGGACAACAGAGGGCATAGTGCTGTTCTGTGGTATCCTGTCATGTATCGGTCCAAGATAATGTGTTTATATTGTGTTTTTTGTGTGTATAAGAGACTTTTAACACGGACATATTTGTCTCTCATTCTCCCACCTCTTCATGCGCTCGCCACCTCTAAACCCACGTTTCCTGTCATTTCCGTCCACAAATAAAATGCTTGCTGCGCATCTTTTCACTCCTCCAGTCAAGGGAGGATGAAACGTTCATATTTTTAGAGTTTTTTCGCGAAGTATTCTTCAAGCTTCTCCGTGTCTGCCGCTAGTTATCCTCGGCTCTCTTTGCAATGGCGGCGCTGTAAACAACAGCGGCGTCCTGACCAATCAAAAGCTTGCGTAATCCGTCTCGTTCGACGGATGTTTAAAAAAATGGGCTCGACTCCGTACGTACTTGCGTGCCTGCCGGATCCCTACGCAAGGACGGATAATGGCGTTGCGTGTCTCTGCACTGACGTAGACGGAGAAGCATAAATCAGGCTTTAGTCTTGGAATCGTGAGCGGAGAACGCGCTTTGATTGGCCACTAGAATATTTCAGCTCAGCCAGCAGCTCACGTAGTGCGCATACGATGAGTTTTTACTCCCTGTGAGGCAGAAAATATCAAACTGGTCAGATATTCACCTCAGCATCTCATGAGATGAAAAACTCAGTGAAAATCGGGTGCACACAGTGAGGTATCTTATGAGCAAACGGCCTTGAAAGACCGTGTGCTCAGCAGTTTGCTCTCGTGTGCGGCAGGCTTAACAGGAAACTGATGAACAGATTTTTTTTTTTCATGTTTGGAGTATACATAGAAGCGGGAGTGACCCACATGGCAGCACAAAAGGTGAGTTTTGTATAATATTTATGTCCCCTTTAAACAAGTGAAATTATTGTCATGGTACTCACCATGAACATGGAGCGAAAGTTGCTGAGGTCCGTGAACAGCTCCTCCACGGAGGTCTTTTTGGGATCAACAGCGAAGTATTCCAGTGTGTTCTGATAGAACGTCTCCATATTGCTGTGCATGATCCCCAACTTGCCATACTGCTCCTGTGCAACTTTGAAGAAGCTGTGAGGGGTGTGTTAAGGCCAACAATGCTTCTGCAGCACATCATGGATTTGAAAAAACATGTAATAATTGTTTTGTATTCACTGCCTAACATAAAAAAAGAGGAGGAGCTGACTCTTGGTTTCACAGAGCAGGAACTCAGTCAAATCTTAACTGTGATGTTGCCATTAGTAGCTCTCTTGCCATCTGTCAGGTTACTTTCACGGTGTGATAACACCTCTGAAGCCTACGGCATTTGTGTTCAGCTGCTAGCAAAAAAAAAAAAAAGTCTTAATATATCATACATGCTCAGTGTAAAATGCTAACATGAACTTAAGCTTAGGGGGAAAAAACTTAACACATCGTCAAGTGAACAAGGACACCAAGACATGTAGCACGGCTACCTCAAGGATACAGCATCACCATTTTTACTGAACTAAAAGTTGATTGAATTTAACTTTACTGCTGGTGTCATTCCAAAGCCAATATGAAGGCTGCAGCACACTCAGGCTCAGATAACAAGATGCCCTTGCCCCTCAGAATGATTCAAGAGCAATGCCAGCAGCTGAGGTTCAAATAAATGAATGCACACTTCAATACAAGGAAATCTAACAAATGCTGCCAATTTTGAAATTGCAAAATGTACATCAGTCTGCTCAAAACCGGGTATGGCACGAATGAGCATTACAAGGTTCTTCTGACTCGGGGCAAAGCAAAAAAAGTTGGTCCTCTCTGGCAGCGTGTTTGTGTGAGAAAACAGACAAATGTTGTAATGGCTCTGTCAACATGCGCTGTAGAGGTGTCGGTGTGGGAGTGAGGGCCGGGGCACACAGGGCTGTTGGAGAAGTCTGCCACCATGAAAGCCTGATTGAACACTGTTCCAAAAAATAGCATCCTGCAATTTAAAAAAAACTCAAATTTCTAATTTTTTCTTCTTTTTTTTTTGGACTTTTTTAGTGCAAAATGACAAAAATATATTTTCCCCACCCTAACAGTGCTGCTAATGGCTAACATTGTTGTCTCATGGCAGATAAGAAGCAACACAGACTCTTTGTGTGTGTGTGTGTGTGTGTGTGTGTGTGTGTGTGTGTGTGTGTGTGTGTGTGTGTGTGTGTGTGTGTGTGTGTGTGTGGCATTCTGGCTCTTATTGTGCTGCTTCATTACAGCTCAATTGATGGACCTATTTGAGGTTTGGCCCCAGTTGATTCTGGCTGAGGATGAGACTACCTATTCACAGCTAGATAAATGCTGTTCAATAGGCACTCCTCCCAGACGGACTTGTCGGTAATACGCTTCCAAGCCAAAAACTGGGAGAAAGAAGCATTAGGAAGGTCATAAAGGGATGAGAAAATAGCCAAGAGTTGTGGTTGATGAGTATTGTAGAGTGTGATATCTCTCCCTTTTTTCTTCCTTGTTTTATGTATTCTTACCCATTCCAGAAAAAAGCACAGCTCACTGCAACTCAATCTCAAACCCCCTTTCTCCTCAAGCTTTCCCACTCTCGTCCTCCTCTTCCAGCGTGCTCCATCATACTTCAGTCTTCATCTTTTCATTTGTCCATCTTCCTCCTGCTTCTCTCATGTTCTGATCTGCCACATTTACAGATCTGCCTGGGCTCCGATTCCAAAGTGCAACACTAGACCAATAGCTGTAAACTCAAGTGGCAAATGAAGTGAAAATGACATTTTCACCCAATGTGATATTCCTGACTTCTCATGTTTGGCTGGTGATGTGAGATTTCACAGATAAAAATTACAACAATTGCTGGCAAACTCAACCGCTGCAGGTCTGTCTGCCGTCTGTAAAACTTTAACGACTGTGTCGAGGTTTTTTTTCTCCCCAAAAAGCGTCATCTGAATAAGAAATTTAAAAAAGGGGAAATAACAGAGACAAACTTGGAATGTACAAAGACATTAAATAATAATCTCTAATATGAGATGTAATTCACTTTAACTAGTCTCATTTTCCAAACACGAGCTTTCGACAGTTAACAAAAGTTAAGTGAAATGTTAAACTGAGCTGTACAATTATCAATCAACACATTTCTGTACTGAAGAAATGACTAACAATTAATGAGAACACTAATTAATACTGTATTAGTTCTACATTTAAATTTAAAAAAAGCTAAAAATATCTATTATAATCTGAATGGATTTCATTTGGCAGGAATGAGGCAGCTACAAAATGAACATCTACTCAACATGGATGAGAATTACAGCTAACGCCTTGAAACTGTCATGCATTTATGAACATTCCTTATTTTTGAATAATACCACATGCTATGTGTTTGAATTGAAGAAGTTCTCGACCTCTGGATGCTTTATTCAAGGAACCAAAAGATTGCAGGACATGGCTGGGCAAAGACGGATCCTTTAAATGTATTCTTTCTTTCTGCGTTGCTCAGGTTTTCTGCAAACTACCGCTGCACAAGTCATCAGTGCCCCAGCCCCCAGGCTACTGATCAAAACTACATGAAGCGGGCAGGAAAAGAGTGTATTATTGAACACACCTGGCCTGAGACATACCTGTCAACCTGATCCTGCACAACTACCTGAGAAGACTGAATAATTTACTCTGCTGTCAAATGCACACAGCTGTCAGCATTGGGCCTGGATAGCCCAAACGAGCAGTGGAACTGTGTATTGATGCTTTTGCTTCCTTATAATTAAATGGCAATTCAATAACAATCTAAACAGTTCTTCGGGGATAAACTCTGACTGTCACTGCCAGAAAAGAGAGTGATGCCTTAATTTTACCCCCTTTTCATTTCGACGCTGCCTTAAGAAAAACGAAAGAGCTGGGAGGAAAGCTGGCACGGTACGGATAGGGTCCAATTATTACTTGTGCTCATCACCAACAGTGAAATGGAAACCAAGGAAGGCTGAGGCTGGACGAGCCACACATTTTAATCCTCAGTCCTTTTGTTTTAACAGTACGACTCCTCTGATCAGGTTTCCTTTTTACAAAAAAATCCATAAAGCTTTAATTTGTTGGAGGACAGAAAGTTTCCTCCACTCCCAACTACATAATTCTATCCAAACATAGGATATCAAGTTTAAAACCAGCAGCTTTGTTCAGTTGAATTGATTACAGTTGGTGAATTTTGCCTTTGAGCAACAAGCATATGCATAAATGGGAAAAGGATATAGCCATTTTGGTAAAAAACATGTCGCTGGGGTCATCGGGGGAAGAGAATGTCTCCAGGTCTCTCTCGAGTTGCAGCAGCTGCCTCTCCATCTGCCGGAGGCTCTTTTCCAGATTCTCTGCAGAGACTGGGATGCACGCACGTTCGCAGCAGCACACAAAAACACACAACATGACAAAAAAGATGAGGGGATACAAAGAGAGACAGGATTGCACTTTAACAGGTACAGTTAGATGCATTAGCATTTTGAGGCTTTCAAAGATTTATACAAACCACAGAAAAATAGGATAAATGAGATGCAAAAAGATACACAAACATGGTTATTATGGGCTCACTTTGTTCCAGAAACACCATGAAAATGAGAAAGCACAAGCATTAAGTGTGTGTGTCTTTAACACAGAGCTGTGCAATTAATCAAACTTGCATTTGGAGGACATGTCCCTCATGAGGACATGAACTCACATCTGTCTTGTGGTGGTGTTTAAAAAGTCAGAAGAAAAAAGAAAATGAATTATGGTAAATCCTACTGGTGGTGTATGACACATGAGAAAAGCTGCTTTTTTTGTTTTTTTCGAATATGACCATAGCACTCTTTGACCCTTTATTAATAAGGCCATTAATAAGGACTTCTATTAATAAGCTTTGAAAATTCCATAATAATACATTTTGTTTGTAGTAACATCTAGTTTGGACCTTTGGGCTTCCATAGCATCTCCTCTCTGCTGTCATGGCAGCCTGCAGTGATCAATATGTACTATCTAAATGTTGCAAAACCATAATTTTGATTAATTTCTTAAACACAGAAAAACCCATGTATATTTTTTGTGGTTTATACTGACCAGTTTGAGATTTTAAAAAGTTCTCAATTTATCTCATAAATTCGTTTAGGACTAAACAGATCAACTCTGCCACCTGCTGACATAAAACATGATACAGTCTCCTTAATGTAACAATAGATCATTTCTAAACTTTAAGCTAGAACTTCAACATTGATCTCAGATTGTTTAGTAAAAAACCTGATCAGTTTCGTATTTAACTCCACTTTACAGCCCTCTGCTGACCAAAAACCACATTAGATAGTTTTGTGGAGCAGGTAGGTGTCCTATAGGGGAAGGTCTTTACCTGCCTTAAGCTGTTATGTTAGCTGTTAGTATTTTCAGTTTGCCGATCATCAATAAAAAGCACAAGTAGAAGAAAAAGAAGAAGTTAGCTTTATCTGTTGGCATCACGGAGGAGCCTAGAAGTAAAAGTAAGAGAGTGTTGTCTTTAGAGGCAAAACAAAGAGCTAAAACTGGAGAAAACATTGGCACGACCTACACTAGTATAAGGTAGTTAAAGGAGGCTACAAAATCACGGACTGATTGTGACCTGGCTTTGTTGGTACTAGATTAGTTTATTTTGCATTAGTTTGCTCATGTTAGTGTTAACTTGTTGGCAGTGCCAGAGTGATGGAGGGTGGTTTACAACAGTTGTAATTCCACTTTCAACCAGTAGGGTGGAGCAGCAAGAAACTGCTCTGCATTACTTTAATACATGGTCTCAATGATTAATGATGATAATTTGTGGTTTCAATTTTTTGCTAATTATCTTTGCATGTTTATTTGAGGTATAAACAATCTAAACACGGATTCCCCACTCTGCTCTTCTGTGCCTTTCATTCTGTGACTGTGCTCTTATCCACAGGTGGATGAATCAAATAGAGCAGGAGAATCCTGGGCCTAACTTCCTGTTAAGTTGGTCATGGTTGACATATTAAGCTTGTGAGTGATTATAGCATGTGGCATGAATTACCCTGATTAGACCCTACTTGACAAAAAGGCATAAGCTGCTTTATTATAAGTAGTTTAAAATTTCTCTTGATCTAATGCTTAAGGGGGGGGGGGGGGGGGGGGGGGGGCAAGCAAGAACGTCGACTTCATGGCATATACCTACTTTACAGATGCGAATGCACTGTTCAGGACTTAACGTGAAAGTTTTCTACAATTGGTGAAGTTAAATGATTTTCCTTTATATTTTCCAGTTTGATGGAGTGTATAGTATGGCTATTCTGTCCCTGCTGTTAAAGGTGAGATGTCAGTTTAAAGAAACATAGGCTTATGCGTTAAAATGGGGAACAGCAGGTGGCACTTTTCACTATTGTCACTTCTGACTAAGTAGATCAATACAACAGCAAAAACAGGCTGAGAGAGGAGTGTTACGATATATAAATATATATATATATATATATATACATATACATATATATATATATATATATATATATATATATATATATATATATATACAGGTGCTGGCCAGTAAATTAGAATATCATCAAAAGGTTGAAAATATTTCAGTAATTCCATTCAAAACGTGAAACTTGTACATTATATTCATGCAATGCACACAGACCAATGTATTTCCGATGTTTATTACGTTTAATTTTGATATTTATAGGTGACAACCAATGAAAACATCAAATCTGGTATCTCAGAAAATTAGAATATTCTAAAGGCCAATGAAAAAATGTTTGTTTCTCTAATGTTGGCCAACTGAAAAGAATGAACATGAAAAGAATGTGCATGTATAGCACTCAATACTTAGTCGGGGCTCCTTTTGCCTCAATAACTGCAGTAATGCGGCGTGGCATGGACTCGATCAGTCTGTGGCACTGCTCAGGTGTTATGAGAGCCCAGGTTGCTCTGATAGTCGTCTTCAGCTCCTCTGCATTGTTGGGTCTAGCGTATTGCATCCTCCGCTTCACAATACCCCATAGATTTTCTATGGGGTTAAGGTCAGGCGAGTTTGCTGGCCAATCAAGGACAGGGATACCATGGTCCTTGAACCAGGTGCTGGTGGTTTTGGCACTGTGTGCAGGTGCCAAGTCCTGTTGAAAGGTGAAGTCTGCATCCCCATAAAGTTGGTCAGCAGCAGGAAGCATGAAGTGCTCTAAAACTTCCTGGTAGACGGCTGCATTGACCCTGGACCTCAGGAAACAGAGTGGGCCAACACCGGCAGATGACATGGCACCCCACACCATCACTGACGGTGGAAACTTTACACTGGACCTCATGCAACTTGGATTCTGTGCTTCTCCGCTCTTCCTCCAGACTCTGGGTCCTTGATTTCCAAAGGAAATGCAGAACTTGCTTTCATCAGAAAACATAACTTTGGACCACTCAGCATCAGTCCAGTCCTTTTTGTCCTTGGCCCAGGCGAGACGCTTCTTGCGCTGTTTCTTGTTCAAGAGTGGCTTGACACACGGAATGCGACACCTGAATCCCATGTCTTTCATGAGTCTCCTCGTGGTGGTTCTTGAAGCGCTGACTCCAGCTGCAGTCCACTCTTTGTGGATCTCCCCCACATTTTTGAATGGGTTTGTCGTCACAATTCTCTGCAGGGTGCGGTTATCCCTAGAGCTTGTACACTTTTTTCTACCACATTTTTTCCGTCCCTTCGCCTGTCTGTTAATGTGCTTGGACACAGAGCTCTGCGAACAGCCAGCTTCTTTAGCAATCACCTTTTGTGTCTTGCCCTCCTTGTGCAAGGTGTCAATGATTGTCTTTTGGACAGCTGTTAAGTCAGAAGTCTTCCCCATGATTGTGGTGCCTTCAAAACAAGACTGAGGGACCTTTTAAAGGCCTTTGCAGGTGTTTTGAGTAAATCAGCTGATTAGAGTGGCAGCAGGTGTCTTCTATATTCAGCCTTTTCAGAATATTCTAATTTTTTGAGATACCAAATTTGGAGTTTTCATTAGTTGTCACTTATGAATATCAAATTTAAATGTAATGAACATTGGAAATACATTGGTCTGTGTGCATTGCATGAATATAATGTACAAGTTTCACGTTTTGAATGGAATTACTGAAATATTTTCAACCTTTTGATGATATTCTAATTTACTGGCCAGCACCTGTACATATACATATATATACATATATATATATTTATTTATTTATTTATTTCTTTATTTATTTATTTATTTATTTATTTTTAACATCTGCACATGCTAAATTAACAAGTAAAAAACTATTTTTTTAATTAACTAAAACTCATCTATGGACTGATTTTTCAAAGAAGATTTATGTTCAGAGATGTTTCATTGATGAGAAATGTCAGTTATTGTAAAACGTTGAGCCTTTGGGAGAATCAGACCTGTGCAGAAATTAAATACTGCGGTAGGGTTAATGGGGTCAGTTTTGTACGCTATTTGTTCCTCAGTTGCTTTGATGGAAAAACTTTATGCAGCATTTGTGACACGAATCCCTCCTGTGGAAAAGCTGATTTATTTCTAGAGGTTCTTTGGTTAAATAAAGGTTATTAATGAAATGTCAAAATGTGATTAAATGCAGCAAGTGTGGTGACATGGGGAGGACACCAGGAGACAGCAGACCCAACTAAAACAATTAAATGATCAATGTTTTTTTTATGAAGAAGAAAATATCACTTCTATAGCGCCTCTCAAGATAAAAATCACGAGGCGCTTCACAAAAACAAAAAATGTGAAAATATAAAAAAGAATTTAGAAAATTGTTAGAAATATATTTAAAATGAGCAAAAAATAGACAGTTCTGATTAAAAATATAAAGCGAGAGTGAATAGGAAAGAGGGAAATCAGTGGATCCTGAGGAAGGTGGAATAGGTGGGGAGAGCAGAATAAAGAGAGAGTGGTGAAGAAGGTCATACAAAAACCACTTTGAACAAGTGAGCTTTCAGCTGCTTTTTAAAGGAGACCACTGAGTCCACTGATCTAAGGGGGAGAGAGTTCCAGAGTCTGGGGGCCACGGCAGCAAATGATTTGTCACCTTTGGTCTTTAGCCTGGTGCACTGTACAACCAGTAGACTTTGATCACTGGACCTCAGGGACCTGCTGGGGGTGTAGGGGCTAAGAAGATCACCAATGTAAGATGGTGCTTGTCCATGTAAGGCCCTATAGACCAGAACCAGTATCATGAAATGAACCCTAAAGTTGACTGGCAGCCAATGAAGCTGGAGGAGAATCGGGGTGATGTGGGTGTGTTTGGAAGACTTGGTCAGAAGCCGAGCACAGGCGTTCTGAACCACCTGCACACAGTTAGGGGAGCTTTTGCTCAGACACGTGAAAAGAGAGTTACAGTAGTCTAAGCATGAGGAGATGAAGGTGTGGAT